TGCAACACCTGCCCTGGTGTGATAGTCACTGCAGAGCTGACGTAGAATACTTTCCCCAGGTTGCAGATCATGTTTGCAATAAGCTTGACATGAGTCACATGACGTAGAAAGAACACAAATGGAAACATAAAATCTCTGCTTCCTAGAAGTCATAAGAAACTCCAGGGTGCAAAACAATCCTCTCACGCAGACTCATGGCTTGAGGGGAGTAAACAGTTTACTTTGAGAGGCTGCCAGCTTTCTGATACCTTAGCATCACCAACAACTCTTTACAGGCAAAGCTACTTTTACTCCAGGACTGCTTAATGTCACACCATGATGGATGTGAGATTAAACATAATGCCGGGAATGAAAGTCATTAACTGAGCTGATTCATTATGCATTGAGTGTCATCGATTCTGCAGACGGTTCTTTGCCAAAAGGCCCATCTTAAAAGGCACAATCTGTTAACACTAGATTACTTTTATAGGAGGCAGACGCCCATAAACGTCCCAAACAAAACAAATCAAGACAATCCAGGCTAAAGGGTGAAGATACGAGTAACGCACAAACTCCTAGTAGATTCCCACACCTTCTTAAAACATCAAAATGTTTTTCAAGGACTTTCCAGACCAAGATCAATCAAATTCAAGGATCCAACGGTATCGACTCAATCAAAGTTAATTATTGTTGCTCTGTCTTGCGGCAGGTGTCGCGTGAAAAACTACGACGCATTTGAAGTAAATGCTGAAAGCGAAATGGAGCGTAATAACTAACCTTAGGTAAAATGTTGTATATATTAATGTAATACATGACTTTAGGCACTTTTAATGACCCACGTTTCTTTCTGTGAAACAAAGCCCATAATGACCACGTCGATTTTTAAAAATACATTTTTTTACCCTTAAATTGACCAATTTTCAAGAATTGTAAGCACCCATTGGAACCATGTGTATCATACGTGATGAATGAGAGAAATACGATTTGTTTGTGAGTCTATTGCCTGTTAGAGTCATTGTTTTATTTAAGGAAAATCCTATTTTTGTGCCTCAAGAAGGTGCTAATATTAAAAATGATTACAGTATCACATCAAGTTTTTTCTTAAATATTGAAACAGGTTACAGTATTTTCAAAATCCCTTAAATACTAATCTTTGCATATCAACTTCTGAGGAGCACGGTTTTTATCAAGGCTTTAAATCAAGCATTTAAATGTTTCTTGACTAACCCAGTTCACAAGACTGTGAAAACAAACAGACACAAATAATGACAACTTCCTAGGAACTGATAGCGATGGGTAAAAATAAACACATCCAAGTGGAAAGAGGCCTTCGGAGTGATGTGAAACCATCTGATGGAAACCTACCTGTGAGACACATGAAGAAAGAAGAGGTGAAGGAACTACAGGAGACTGGAGAAAATGGAGATGAAGATGGAGAGGCGTGAGCTGAAAATGAAATGAGTACAAGGTGTAAAGGTCAACAGATGAGAATGAGGATAACATCATAGTAAGTGACGTGAAGCGTGAAGGAGTGTACACAAGGCCGGACCCGAGCATCTGCTGGGTGTCTCGCTGTGATCACCACAAATGGACGTCACCGTGTTGATCTAACTATGTTTATTAGACCAGAAGGCACCGCCCAGAGGAATCTGCTCTCTACACCTCAACGATGAGCGATGGGACCGTTCATACAAAATGCATGTGAGCAGTGAATTATTCATCCTGCTTTTTATTTCCCTCTCAAACAGGGGAGATTAAAAAACCATGAGCTGGTTCAGGTGAGGGGTCCATCAAAACGTTTGTCCCAGTCACTGCAAATCTCACTCATGCGTAGCTTGAGCTATAGAGTGGCGAAGTCCCGCCCATCTACTTCCGACCCATGGGACCTTATTTCTGAAAAAGTATGTATTGAAGTCAATGGAGAGAACACTTATCTTTCGATCTCGTTTGAATTGTGCCACGAATTACACATATGATGTTTGTCCATCTTAAAAAATCATTTCCATGTAAAAAAAGTCACAGTTTGTCTTAAAACTGTTGAAATATAAGACAATGAAAAATACGCAACTAGAAAGACTACAAATCCCTGTAAGTAAATTTAGCTAGCTGACATTAACGTTACACATTACACTCGTGTTCCTCACCGACACCTTGTGAAGCCGGTCCCGCATGCTGGCTCTTAGGAACCGACTAACTCCCCTTGTGTGTATGTAGCTCTCAACGTGCCCAGACTTGTAGTGATTTTCACCTCTTTTAATACTTTTCACTTCGTTCTGAAAGAAAGAGGTAAAATGTGCTAACGTGACGGCCATCTTGGTGTTGGTGACGTATGCGAGACCAGAGATGTAGGTCATTGAGCGCTTCACACAAAAAAAGTGTTACTTCACAGTTTTACGGCACATTTTTATTTTTTTGACTTGCTAAATTATCTTTTAAATTGACAAACATCATATGTGTAATTCGTGGAACAATTCAAACGGGATCAAAAGATAATCTTTCTCTCTCCATTGACTTCAATACATACCTTTTCCGAAATAAGGTCCCATGGAGATCCCCCGGAAGGGGAGGGACTTCGCCTCTCATTAGGGCTGCTCGATTATGGCAAAAATCATAATCTCGATTATTTGGGTCAATAATTGTAATTGCGATTATTAAATGCGATTATTCATTGACTTTGAAAACATCCATTTATTGGAGAAAAAAAATGTGAACAGTAAGTTTTGAACAGTTGATTACCCTGAACTTTAAGTCTAATTCAACAGAAAAACCAAAAAAAAAAAATATATTAAAAAGAAAAAAGTAATAATAATAATGAAAAATAATCGTTTTATTTCGATTACGTTGTTTTCGTAATCGTTGCAAGCCATAATCGTAATCGCGATTAAAATACGATTAATTGAGCAGCCCTAGCTTGAACTTCTTTAAAACATGGGGTTGCAGGAAATCAATCTTGCTGAACAGAATGTACCGTCTCCTTAACCTACCTAAGTAAACTGCTTTCACTTTGGTATGTATTCCTTTTTTTAACCCTAACCCTAAACCCTTGTGCTTCATCCAATAATTGGCTCTAGAAAAATCGCATATACACGTCAATAAAAGCCAAAGGATGATATGAATGAATGATGTCCTACTTTATTAACAGAGCATTTAACTCACGAGAGTAACTCTTCTTATTAGATCTTCATTTTTAAGAGTTTGTAATATAGGGTGTCAATGTAACTCCATGAAACACAGACCTTACAAATGTAACTTTTACACGTGGATTGCAAACTTAAAAAATGTTTTAACATCACCCAGAGGAGCTGTAGGTGACAGTGCCAATTTGAGTCTGTTTCCAAACCTCAAACAGACTCTACACTAACAGCTTCAGAAAACAAAGTCTCTGTAATAATGTCTGGCACACACTTCTAGTGGTTGCATCGCCTCCTTAAAAAAAATCAATGTTTTTCAAGGACTTTTGAGGCAAAAATCCCTCAAATTCAAGAATCCAACAGCATTGACTCAATCAAGTCAATGTGCAATGTGTGATAGAGCATGTGTGAATAGATCGGCTTGTTGTCAAGACGATTCACTTTGAGAGATTTGGCGTGTTAACAACGTTTCTATCGTGTTGCTAGTGCAAAACAGTCCAAGGAATAAAAAACAACAACTTGTTCTCGTCTAATTTGAAAGCCAACAAGAATCACAAACTTTCTGTCGTAAAGGACAGGCGCCAAGACCATCAGACAAGTTTAAGCCACAAACGTTATTGTTTATGACCAAATATATCCAGCAACAACTACATGACAGAGTAAAGTCTGCATTCTGCACGCTCTACCAATGGCGGCAGCCCTCACCTAAACCTCTAAGTATTTCCTGTGAGCAAAAAACACGACTGACAATTCCCAGCTGTGGGTTTGGAAATTACGTTCAATGTCCAGTTTGAACAGAAGAAGAAATTATTACCGTGGTTGACTGCATTTAGTAGCTTGTAGTTGTTGCCGAAGTGAACAGATTAGTGATTTTACAGGGAGGTAAATGAAGGAACTTGCTTGACAAACAAAAGTAGGTGAAGTGACATCACAGATTCTCAATGTCTTGCTATAGCAGTAAGATTGCTAGGTTTATAAATCATCATAATGTTTGCACAGAGACTTATGGAAAGCTATGACAACTTTCAACCTTGTATCTTTGATTTATGCAGGATATAGGGGAGGCGTGTGGTGCAGTGGGTTGTGAGTTGGTATTCGGATCAGGAGGGTCACAGGTTCAAACCCCACTGCAGTCAGCATGTCGTTGTGTCCCTGAGACACTTCACCCCAAATTGCTCCTGTGGGGATTGCCTACAGTATTGAGTATGTAAGTCGCTTTGGATAAAAGCGTCTAACAAGTGACATGTAATGTAATATAGATACATTAACATAGAGTGTGAGCCACAACAAACATTAGCCTCATCCTTGAGTTGATACTATAAACCCTTCACATCCCTGCATCTTAATATGTACTTCAAACACAACTCACAAAGCTATTATCAACATTACACAAGAACAAACTCATAAGTATAATCAATGATGAGCATGCAGTGGATCCGCTTGTAGTCCCTTTGTGATAATTATCAATAATCCAAAGGAAATAAAACCCTTACTATCTGAATAGCTCGATCAGTCAAGAAGTAAGAGAGAACATGTGTTATTGTATATCTCAACCAACACTGTAATGACACCCCTGGCATCTCGGAAATTAATCTAAAGGAGCACTTAAACATCAGGTTCACTGTGCACACAATTACAAATATAGCATCAATAACTAGTCAAGTCCGCCTTGACACAACAGTTTATATTCTATGACACCATAGAAGAAAATGCTACTAATTGCAAAGCCTTTATTTGGCATTGCCACCACTTTGACTGTAAGGTAAAATGAATTATGAATTCAAGTAAAAGATTAAGGAAGATTTGGGGCAGATATACGAGGCATTATCAATATAAATGCAATTTAGAAAGGAAGAAGTTGGAGATTTTAAAGACCTATTTTATACATACCTTGTTCCGAAGCCCCCCCTGGTCCCTGTGGGGGAGTCGAGGCTTTCTCCTGGCTTGGCTGGCCTGTCGCGATTCATTTGCTGCAGGATGGAGCTCAGCTCGGTGATGACGGTGTTCTTGGAGTCTGGTGTTGATGGGGGACTGTGCAGATCTGGCGGCTGATCGCCCCACAGCTTGGATGTCCTTTGAGTAGGAGTCCTAGGAGGTTCAGAGGATGAAGGAGGAGGGGGAGGATCCTGAGGCGGGGATCCATAGGACTCCGGGGGCTCTTCAATAAGAGCGTCATGATAAAGCGATGTTCTGTTGATGACAGACTTGCCCTTGGGTTTGGGGGGCACAGGGGGCCGGTCCACCAGGAAGGCGTGTCCGTCTGCGGTGGCGTAGAGGCTCTCCAGAGCGCTGTCGCAGAAGCCCCCCTCTGACGACAGGGTGGAGATGCTGGAAACGGTGCTGGTTGTCTCCATGTGCTGAGGATCCCCGCTACTGCGGCTGTCTACCTCCTCGATGCCCGAGTCACCCACCCCTGACTCCAAATCCGGTGGAGGGGGAGGATATGAGGGTGGCATGTTGTTTGCAACCCGTTTGTGTTGCTCAATGACAGGTGGCGGGGCGTGAGGGTGGTATGGTGGTAAAATAGGACCCCCATTTCGTCTCTGTTGCTGAATCATCTCTGCAATGGCACTCGCCTGATCATCAGGAATGTCGATACTGTTGGCAAACTCCAGTGGTGGTGGGAGGGGATCCGAGAATTCAAATTCCTCATCGATGTCAACTGATGCGAGAGGAGGTGGTGGGATGCGGAAGGGCAGTTTTACTGGTTCGTCAATGGACTCATTCAAGGGCATGCTCCTCCTCAATGAGGTTGGTTGGGGATTGGGGGACAGTGACGAAGCGTTGTGAGGATCCGGTTGGTTGGGGTCCTTCAGCTCCGATGGCCTGTTGCTGTCCTGCCCCTCCACCTCTTGGTTGTTTCCCTTGTTGCTTGCTTCGTTGCTGGTGTGGACCATCAACAGTCCAGTTAACTGCTGTGATAAATCCGACACATCCGCTGGCGCACTTTTCCTCTCCTCAACTGCCTGATGCTTTCGTTCTTCCTGTGCCCCATCAGACTCATACTTCTGCTCCGTCATTTGTCTCCGCAGACCGCCTCGACTAGGCCGCCCCATGGTTGCTGATGAGATTGCGGCAAAACTTGTCTCGATCCCCGAGCGTAGTTTGGTGTCAATAAACAGCGGTTGATTGAGGTCTGGTTTGTGGCTTGGCTGACTTGGGAGGGACTGGGCTTCGTGTTTGGGCGCTTGCTGAACCTGAGGAGGATTTGTTGGCTGATTCTGAGGATGGTTCTGTTGCTCCTTCATCGCCCGGTCACGAGCTGCCAGGGCCAAAGCAAGAGGGGAATTAGGATCCAGGGGTTTGCCTGTAACAGGATGGAGGTAAGTCCCGTTTGACCTGTAGTGGCTCTTAGGAGGTGTGGATGGGAGACTAACGGGACTGTCCAGGTTGGGACACTGGCCTGTTCTGGTGTTTAGAGGCTCCCTAACCACTGTGGGCTCAGGAGTGTTGAAATCTGTCATGTTGCCACTACCTCCCCCGACAGGACGACCAAGCTGTGCAGGGGGACCCAATATCCTTCGAAGCCTCTCATCACTAAACATGCCTTCATCGATGGACTTCGAATGGCGAAGACGAGGGGTCGGTGTAGGACTACCGAAGTCATCATCCCCAATATCTATTGACTGGAAGGCGATTGAGTGCTTTTTTGCCTCTAGCCTCTTCTCCCGGTCCCTTACTGCCCCAGCAATAGCTGCTGCAAAGGGGTTGCCTAAAGACGGGTCTTCGGGACGCAAACCACCAACAGGCATGAGAGGAGGGTGTTCGGGGGTGGTGGGCTCGATCTCCATACTGCTACCCTGGCTGCTCTTGCCACTGCTGCTGGTGGAGGGCTCCTTGATGATGATGGTAGGGATGGGAATGGAGGAGCAAGTTCGTTCTACAGGCGTAGTAGGCATGGAAACCGCGCCCGATGGATTTGATGACATGTGACTCTTTTTCTCCGGACTATCCTCAACGTTGTGCTGTTTTACAAGCATGCCCTTCCTTCGAGCTGGTTTGGCTGGCACGTACAGGTTCCTATTGCCCACCTCGGAGTAAGGGTTCTCCGGGACTGGAGCGCGCCCTCGAATGCGCGAGTCAAACTGCTCAGAGCTCTGCCGGTAATAGCCGCGCCGTAACGTACCGGCGTCGTTTGTTCGGCTAATGGTCTTCACCACATTGGCTGAGTTCTGGGTGAAGCTGGGTCGTATGGTGCCGTAGCTCTTGGGTGTTGGACCAGAGTTGAAGTCAGGTGGAGAAGGGGGTGAAATGGCTGGGGGAGGAGGGATGTCCTCTGAGGTGTCGGGCATGGAGAGGCTGCGGGCAAACTTGAGTAAGGGAGGCGTGAGGAATCCATGTTTGTCGTCCTCCGATGTACCTTGGAGAAATAGAGCAGAAGGAAAAAATATGTGAGGACCTGGGGGTGACATCCATATGTTTTATTTCCAGCATGGCCTTTGTTTGACGCAGTCAATGTCTCATTTATTGATGGCAGCTCTTTCTTAATCTTTTCCTGAGTTTTATCAGACAAGATAAATAAAGAGTAGCTGAATATAAAATGTTTTCTGCAGCAAGCAGGAATTTACTTTTGGCATTTACCCAAAACCACCACGTGAGATTTAGACAAACATTTATATTGAAGGCCAATTTGATTTCAAATCTATACAGAAGAGCAGAAGTGGATTACTTAAGGTAGCTGAGTCAATTAAAATATCGAATTATTTCATTTAATAGACAAAAAAAGGCTTGGACAAAGCTACATTCAGTTTAATTCGTTGTCACTTAGTCAATAGAGTGGTGCAGTGACGCGTCCTAAAACCCGGAAGATCATAAATCTATCGATTAGATTTATGATTAGAAAATTATAAAAGTATTTTTGTCGAGGGAACCGGAAGAAGCTTACTTCCAGGTTTTAGGACGCGTCACCGCACCACTCTATAAGTGACACACACGATTTAGTTGACACACCGGTGCCTTCAAACAAGAACATGCTAAAAGTGCTTTCAGGGCAATTTCAACACAAAAATATCCTAATCTTTTGTTACAATAATGATGGCATTGAAATGAAAAAGCGCTGTGAGTAACATTAGGCTGCACGGCGTCCCTTTGGTTCAGCAGTGAGAATGAGGTTTCAGCATACGTTTAACGACCTCGTATATCATCTCCTGAAAGCACACTTTGCTGACTGGATCCTTCTAATTTATCTATAATTAACTTGCATATTGCTTGAGCACACAGAGCGAGCCCTCTGAGCATTAATAGAATATTAGGACATGCTAAAAGCGCTGGACATGAGCTTCACAACGCTAACACTCACACGCCTTCACACACACATTTACTGTAAACACATCATACCTATGGACTTCTGCTTTTTCAAAGTGCTCTTCTCAGGTAGCCCCAGGAAAGCCCCCGGCACAGTGGGTGGCGCCACTGCTACTCCCTGGCGGTCATGATATAATGACTGCAAACAAGAATATTGTTAATGATGTACCAATAAATACACATTCTTTATTATATATCTGCTGGGTGTGGACACAAACACAAGTTTCGGATATATTTGTTAGTAAAAACTTACTGTAGCTGTAGAACAAACTGAAGTCAAAATAGATTCACAAACATTTATTTTCCCAAGAAGGACTTTGTTTGACCTTCGTTGTCCCTGTTTCATGCTGATCGTAAAAAGACAGCCTTCACACAACATTAATAATAATTTCTGATCAGACAAGTTATTTAAATGTTCAAAAGGCGTTTCTATTATTCTTTTAGCGCCAAATCCTTTTCAGACGAAGGCAAAACAACCTTATTTAGCTGCAAAACCTAAAAACCAAAAATATTTCGGACGTTTTAACGAATGCTGGCGTTCCCATTCGTTTTTTCAAATACAATGCTTTAAAATGCCAATACAAATCAGTGAAACGAAGTTATGTCAAGTATTTTTTGATGTCACCTGCGCTTTGATCACCTACATTGATATCAGCTGCTGTCACCAAACAGCGACTGGATGGCCGTGGTTTGATGGTGGCGATCTTCATATCGACAGGCGACGTCTTCTGGGCGTGCGTCATCTCTTCAACTTTGTCTGTAAGATACAAAGTGAGCCGTAATTAATGAGCAACAAAAAAACAAAAGACAAGGGCAGGATTGAACTTGTAAAGCCAAACGCAAGCTTGTCATTCACAGTGACCCGTCCCTGCAGATGAGACTGAAAAAAAAAAAAGGGCAGGAGGACTTTGATGAAATGTCTCGGGTGTGTCAAGCCTTGCAAGCCGTGCAAGCTCTTTCCAAACAGCCGACTCAGCAGCATCATCCGACTCTCAGGGTCGTTCCCTCATTAAATGTGAAAATGAGAATGAGCTCTGTCAAGTTTGCCTTTATCTTTCCCAGTTGTATTTCTTTATATTTCGCGCCTGCAACGTGGGAAAACAGCACATTTGGCAGCAGTGAACTTCCCTCTGGTGTGATGATGCGGTCAAATAGAAGTGTACGGTGGCCGACAGGTGCAAACACATTATGACGGCTGTTAGAGAATATGTCTTCTCTCTTCCTAAGTGTCAAATAATAATTCTTCCTTACTCCTAAGATATTTAACATTTACTGTGTGTTTACATTTACGATCAGCCCTGCTCCTTATCTTCCGCAAGGAATGTGATAATGCAGTCGTATGTTGATACTAGGGTTTACAGCTTGAACTACAGGGCATAGGGAGGGTTTGCGAGTGTGAGAACGCTAGTGTAAGGGTTTAGTGTTTTGTCTATCTGTCTGTTGATGTTAATTGCTCTACTCTCTCTCTCTCCAGGTGTCGGCACTTCCTGGCACCTGCTAGGCTGATTGTTATTCCCGCCCCTGATTGTGTCCACCTGTGTCCCATTACCTAAAGTGTATATTTAGTCCTCCTCTCCCTTTGTCTGGTGTTGGTTCGTCTTGTCTTTTCGTCATGTCCATGCCTGTATACCATAGACCTGTTTTTGCACTACCTAATAGAACCTAGAGATTCTTGGAGAGTCCTAGTAGATCCTAGAAGTTTATTGGAAAGCTTTGTATTCTTGAAAATAAAGAATATTACAAAGCAACGGAATCGAGCATCTGAGTTCTTACGAGCCCATCGTGTCAGCTAGCTTCTAAGCTCCAGAGATGGGAGAGACGTCTCCTGTGCCTGCAGATGTGTTTACGCCATGATTTACGCCCATCCCCAATATGCTGATTAACTCTCTGAACTAGTTAAAAGGTCTATAGAGAGAGAGGCTGGGCAGAATTGACATGACAACCCACCCGTGCAGTCAGAACCTTTTGCTGCTGTGACTTGTGATATGAATTCTCCGGCCGTTGACTTGTAATAAACTACCAGTGTTTGACATCAAAGCTCCAACGCTCCTCGTGTCTCTCTGAGCCCTGACTCTCCATTGCTGCAGAAGTTTCCCTTACAACGGCCAACATACATCCGTTAGGAGAAACGTGCTGCAGTATCACAAACTGATGGAATTATTAAAACACAAAGGTGCCAAAACACATGCAAATACAAAAATATCTTCATCAACCTGAAAAAAATGCACAGCGTTTACTAAAAGCTCTGCACACAAACACTACAAATACAGAACGCTGCTCTATTGGCGCATGTGTTGCCAAGTTGGTGAAGATGTTTCTTTGTTTGGATGTTGCATATTTGTGTGTTTTTATTTGCATCGTTTCTGAAACTGCAGCATGTTTCTCCTATTAGAAGTGTCTTGGTGGCCGTTGCAGCACGTTTGCGCTTGTCGCCCACCGTAGTTAGAGTCCACCCAAAAGGTTTTAGCTCAGAGAAGCTACATGCTAGCCCTGCTAGCCTCTTTCTGTGTGACCTCATGGGTTAGCTGTGTCTAGGATGTGGAAAAGCTTCCATGCATTAGTGGGGGGGAGATTACTTAGAGTGACTTGGAAAACAATCCTCTTCTTCTGCATATCTACTCACAGAGGAGAGGAGTGGGGAGGGGAGGAAAGGGGGAGGAAAGGAGCGTCAATGACCTTAAAGACAGTTACGCCAAAACACAGAAACACACACACACATAACAGGACAAAAAATGCACATTTCCTCGCTCTCCCAATTGGATTGCTGCTACACTGTTGCCCTGGAAACCTATCTGTGAGTGAGACATTGCCTGGAATAAACCTCCTCACACACACCACACACACACACACACACACACACACACACACACACACACACACACACACACACACACACACACACACACACACACACACACACACACACACACACACACACACACGCACGTTAAGTGTTTGTAATTCTCGTTAGGGGTCTGTTGTTATGATTCATTGTGATTAAAGCTTGATATTCTTCCAAACATGTGTTGCTGCGAACAAATCGTTTTTTTTAAAAAGTGTGTCAAAATAATCTGTGATTGTGAAGGAGCAGAGGAGATTAAACATATTTGTACTCGACGTAAAACAACAATAACCCATGCAACAACAACATTTATAACACCATGAAGACATCAGTAGTGACACATTATACATCATGCAAACAACATTGGGATTGAAAGTCAGACACATCAAATTCTTATCAACATATTTTTAATAATTAATTAGAACAGTTGATAGGATAAGTGAAGGGAGGAAGGCGTGTGACATAAATCTATAATTATAAATATTGGGAGATATCGTAAACATGCCTACAGACACTTACCACCTTTCTTTTTCCTTAGAGTGGCTTAGAGGGCGACAGAAACATATTTCTAAATCTTAAAAGCAGCAAAACAGATTCCTCCCTTTTCACAAAATGAACAACGATATGCCAGCTTTGTTTTGAGGAGCCCAAATCTTCAGGTGTATATCAGTATGTAGTGTCTCTACTTTAAAGAGTCCTCTCCTGCTGATGTTCAGGTGTATATCAGTATGTAGTGTCTCTACTTTAAAGAGTTCTCTCCTGCTGATGTTCAGGTGTATATCAGTATGTAGTGTCTCTACTTTAAAGAGTCCTCTCCTGCTGATGTTCAGGTGTATATCAGTATGTAGTGTCTCTACTTTAAAGAGTCCTCTCCTGCTGATGTTCAGGTGTATATCAGTATGTAGTGTCTCTACTTTAAAGAGTCCTCTCCTACTGATGTTCAGGTGTATATCAGTATGTAGTGTCTCTACTTTAAAGAGTCCTCTCCTGCTGATGTTCAGGTGTATATCAGTATGTAGTGTCTCTACTTTAAAGAGTCCTCTCCTGCTGATGTTCAGGTGTATATCAGTATGTAGTGTCTCTACTTTAAAGAGTCCTCTCCTGCTGATGTTCAGGTGTATATCAGTATGTAGTGCCTCTACTTTAAAGAGTCCTCTCCTGCTGATGTTCAGGTGTATATCAGTATGTAGTGTCTCTACTTTAAAGAGTCCTCTCCTGCTGATGTTCAGGTGTATATCAGTATGTAGTGTCTCTACATGTCTCCATGCTTTGATGTTAAAAAGCACTTTATTCTTCTCATACTGCCTCTTTTCACCCTCTGTCCGAAACCAGAGCCCAGTCTGCTCTGATTGGTTAGCTGGCCGGCTCTGTTGGGATTGGTCAACCATTTAAGCCCCTGTCACACTGTCCCGAAATTGACACCCGATGGACACACGATAAAGGGAATGTTCAAATTCGGCTGTGATCGTAGCAACATCGGGCCATTCGTGAGGGCATCTTAAGCCATCGTATGACCGCCGGTGGAGTTTCTCAGGCTCCGGCAGCAACTTCGTGAGCGGCAACTTCGTAAGGCACTCGTGAGGGCATCTTGTCAAATCGTGTCATCTTCGTGTTATCATCGGGCATTTGCCCTCACTCTGATCGGGGCGAATGCCCGATGGCACCGATGATAACAAGATGCCCTCACGATGGCCTTACGAAGGGCAAAATTGACACACGAATTCAACACGAACATGAACCTTCGCAAGGTCCTTCGGCAATTTTTTGGCATGCCAAAGATTTTGCCACCGCTCACGAAGTTGCTGCCGGAGCCTGAGAAACTCCACCGGCGGTCATACGAAGGCTTAAGATGCCCTCACGAATGGCCCGATGTTGCTACGATCACAGCCGAATTATCACAGCCTTTATCGTGTGTCCATCGGGTTGTTTTATTGCACAACAAAATCATGTAAACATATTATGTAAATAACCCAATTTGTGTTCTGTGAAACTGAAAAGGATATAATATATTATTTTGAAGGCGAGTTGACAGGAAGTTGTTGTTGCTATGGAAACAACAACATGACGGAGAAAACGTAATATATTCTACATATAAAGACCGATAAAGTAAAGAACAAAGTCTGAAGATATCAGTACAGTATCATAGTACTGTAACATAATTGTTTTTGGTACTTTCGTTGCAGTTGTATGTCTTACATGTAATGTAAATGTTGCCTTCGTGTGTGGTTCGGGGCCATCTTCGTGCGAAATTCACAATTCAATATTCGTGTGTCCATCGTGTGTACATTTTGGGACAGTGTGACAGGGGCTTTAGAGATGTCCCGCCCCTTAGCCTATCACGTATATGTTGAAGCGATAGCCAATAGAAGCACCAGTGTTAAATAGTGATGTCAGAGAGAAACTCCAGGAACGGATTTTAGCCTTTGCAGGAAACGGGAAACCCCAAAAAGCAGAACAGGGCATCTTTAATATTTGAAAAAGTATTCAGTCAGTGTATTTTCTATCTATCTAAATGCACTTGAATGACATGCAGATGTGTTGAATAGGCAGCTTTAGAGAAACAACTGCTCTCTCATCTCCCTTCCTACACCTTTGACACGCCTGGTATTACTAATGATCGTATACTATCGACATATTTAAACTGTCTTTTTGTACTAACAGCGGTCCAAAACTGTAAAAATGCTTAACTCCAAAATAAGAAATGTTATTATTGTCGCAGGATGGTCAGAGTGGCAGAATGAGTCCAACAGCTGGAGCACATGGTCACTAAAGAGAGTCAAAATGAATTGTTCTCCTTTGTTATTCTTACTACTTTTGGTAAACCTTCCTGTTGTCCTCGGGTCAAATTTGACACTTCCCCAAATGTATTTTTGTATATTTTTTGTATATTTTCTAGTATACTACGCTCTTCCACCAGAAGTATGATCACTTTCATTATGTTTTGGCTTTTATTCAAATGTATAGCATCTGAGGTCTTCTGGGGTCAATTTTGTCAAATAATTGTTTCCTTTTTTAACTCAGAAAGTAGGTTAGAATTTGTGTAAATTAGGTTTATTGACCATACATTTCAGAAAGAAGAGTTAAACTTGTGGTAATACGTAAGAATAAAGTTGCCTTAAAAGGTGTAACATAGATTTGGGTGATTATTTATACGAAATGCTTTTTAAATAGTCAAACCAGGAAGACACAAGTTGATAGGAAGACACTAGGGTTAACAACTGCCTCTGGTAAACCTTGGTTCCCTTATTTCTATCTCACGTCGTCTTCCCTCCTTTCCTTCCTACCCTCCTTTCCTTCCTTCCCCTCTCTGTACAGATGTGGCCTCCTGTCCTTTTTTCTCATGTGTCTCAGAATCGCTGACTGACCCGTCTGTCAGAAGCTATTAAGATGACACACCACTTTAAAAGCAACACACAGAGGATCCTGTGAAGTGGGACTCACCTCACGCACGCGCGCACGCGCACACGCACACACGCACACGCACACGCACACACACACACACACACACACACACACACACACACACACACACACACACACACACACACACACACACACACACACACACACACATCAAAACGTATACAAATAATTCCTCCCTGAAGCTGCAGTGACACCATATACTGTAGATTTTGGGGTCTTACAACTAACAAATATTATTTTCATTATCTAATCATCTGAAGGTTATTTTCTAGATTATATTTGTTGGGTGTATAAAATGTCACAAAATCGTTAAAGAAGACCATTGCAATTTAAGTCCAAGGTGATGTCTTTAAAGAAGCCCTATTCGGCTTTTTGGGGTTTTCCCTTTCCTGTAGAGCACATGTGTCAAACTCAAGGCCCGGGGGCCAAATCAGGCCCGTGGTGGATTTAATTTCGGCCCGCAGGATAATTTCTAATTACTATTAGATCTGGCCCGCCGGTATATTGCACGCACACCTTCACTCAACTTGAGGGTTTCCTCAGCTCAGAGCCTGAGCCCAAACATTGATGACCTTGCACCCAAGATGAGATGCCAAGTATCTGAACTAGCATCACAGAGCAGCACACTGAGTTTAATGGATGTTTCCTTCTGCACTTTTCTCTTGAGACAACAGGGCATGCTTGGTTTGTTCTTTGAGGGAAATAGTTTTTTTGAAGCTTTTGAAAAATGTAATCATAAGAAATGACTCTGGAGAAGCTGCAGATAGAGCCATAAGAAATGAATGCAACTGATTATTTAATGTTTAATGTTGTTTTTATAGGCAATCATTGAAGCTTTGTTAGTTCCAGGTTTAATATGTGCAATAACTTCATTTCCATAAGTTCTGCAATAAACATTGAACCAGTCCGGCACTCGACTAATACCCATTTTTTAATTTTGGCCCACTGTGTATTTGAGTTTGACCCCCCTGCTGTAGAGTGTTACATAGGTTTTAGTGCATGTGAATGGTCTGCAAAGACTGACATTCAAAAGTACCAAAACACAGTGACATCACTATGGAATACTAGCTAGCGCGCCAACACATTGTATGATAGGCTAAGGGGCAGGACAAGCAGTTGACCAATCACAACAGAGCCGGCCAGCTAACCAATCAGAGCAGACTGGGCTCTGGTTTCAGACAGAGGGTGAAAAGAGGTGAGAGAGAGAGCTTTTTGAAAATTAAAGCATGGAGACATGTCACAGTAGAGACACTACATACTGATATACACCTGAACATCAGCAGGAGAGGACTCTTTAAAGTAGAGACACTACATACTGATATACACCTGAACATCAGCAGGAGAGGACTCTTTAAAGTGGAGACACTACATACTGATATACACCTGAACATCAGCAGGAGAGGACTCTTTAAAGTAGAGACACTACATACTGATATACACCTGAACATCAGCAGGAGAGGACTCTTTAAAGTGGAGACACTACATACTGATATACACCTGAACATCATCAGGAGAGGACTCTTTAAAGTAGAGACACTACATACTGATATACACCTGAAGATCAGCAGGAGAGGACTCTTTAAAGTAGAGACACTACATACTGATATACACCTGAACATCAGCAGGAGAGGACTCTTTAAAGTAGAGACACTACATACTGATATACACCTGAACATCAGCAGGAGAGGACTCTTTAAAGTAGAGACACTACATACTGATATACACCTGAACATCAGCCGGAGAGGACTCTTTAAAAGTAGAGACACTACATACTGATATACACCTGAACATCAGCAGGATAGGACTCTTTAAAGTAGAGACACTACATACTGATATACACCTGAACATCAGCAGGATAGGACTCTTTAAAGTAGAGGACACTACATACTGATATACACCTGAACATCAGCAGGAGAGGACTCTTTAAAGTAGAGACACTACATACTGATATACACCTGAACATCAGCAGGAGAGGACTCTTTAAAGTAGAGACACTACATACTGATATACACCTGAACATCAGCCGGAGAGGACTCTTTAAAGTAGAGACACTACATACTGATATACACCTGAACATCAGCAGGATAGGACTCTTTAAAGTAGAGACACTACATACTGATATACACCTGAACATCAGCAGGAGAGGGACTCTTTAAAGTAGAGACACTACATACTGATATACACCTGAACATCAGCAGGAGAGGACTCTTTAAAGTAGAGACACTACATACTGATATACACCTGAACATCAGCAGGAGAGGACTCTTTAAAGTAGAGACACTACATACTGATATACACCTGAACATCAGCCGGAGAGGACTCTTTAAAGTAGAGACACTACATACTGATATACACCTGAACATCAGCAGGAGAGGACTCTTTAAAGTAGAGACACTACATACTGATATACACCTGAACATCAGCAGGAGGAGGACTCTTTAAAGTAGAGACACTACATACTGATATACACCTGAACATCAGCAGGAGAGGACTCTTTAAAGTAGAGACACTACATACTGATATACACCTGAACATCAGCAGGATAGGACTCTTTAAAGTAGAGACACTACATACTGATATACACCTGAACATCAGCAGGAGAGGACTCTTTAAAGTAGAGACATACACTACATACTGATATACACCTGAACATCAGCAGGAGAGGACTCTTTAAAGTAGAGACACTACATACTGATATACACCTGAACATCAGCGGAATAGGGCCTCTTTAAATGTCTGGTTTTTAGCTAAAAGCAGCGAATCGACATCGTTGAAGCTCTACTTTGATAGCATGATGGCAGAAGGGCACGAGGAAAAATCAGTTCACTTCTTTATTAAGAGGCAAACCAAAGCAAAAAGTAATCAAATGATGGAAAGCTAGATTGCATTAGCCTGAACAAAAGCTTCATTCAGCGGCTGGAGGATGCAGTTAAGGGAAATGGATTAAATAAGGTTATGCAGAATTAACTGCTTACCTTTATCCACTGAGAGGAGATTAGCCAATCAGAAGAGAGGAGCACACACACAGAGGCTGTTAGGCACAGATTCAGGACAGTGTGAGTAAACATGTAAATAACAACAGGAAGTTCTTACCTAGTTCCTCGAGTTCAGAGGTCATCGACTTGGAGCGCATGGACAGCGCTGTGGTGGGGGCTCTTTTCGGAGGGGGGGGGCGCTGATGGAGAAAATGTCATAAAATAAATACATGTACATTTGTTTAATAAAGACATCAAGTGGCGCCACATCTTCTCATCGACCGAGTTCAGGAGGGATGATTACTAATTGCTGTTTTAATTAATAAAAATATTATTATTTATAAATAATATCCTACTTTTAAACGTTATTCGCGCCTTCATTGTGTTTATTTGACAGATAATCTACAGATTTGTATATTTAGTCAACATATATATATATAATATTTTCTGTTTGGTTATTTTCTACTCTTTATTTTCACATTATTTGCTTCTGTGATCAATAAAGTATATCTTATCTTAAAGGTCACCTATCATGCTATGTTTAGGCAATAGCATAGGTCTCAGATATATACAAATATATACAAACATGTCTATGAAGTGTTTTGCTCAAAATACCAAACAGATCACCCATTCTAGCCATGCCTCATATCCCTCTGTTTCAAAAGTACTGATTTTGGGATAAAGCTTTAATTAAAAAGGAGGGGTCTGAGCTCATGCGGGACCCGGCAGCTACTGTCTAACTAAATGCTGACGTGATGAAACGCCATATCATGGATTATCAAGGATTCTCTCTGAAACAGTATGGAGCTCAAAGGCTTTCTCTCTTGCCGGTTATACCACAAGGTGAGTTCCTTTTTATTTCCTGCTTCTTCACACACATGCTCTCCAGTACAGGTTAGCTCTGAGTGTTAGCGATGCTAATGTAAACACCGACCATATTACGTCCAAAACAGTCGGGCATTGTTTCTGATAGCAACGTTTCTGATTGGGCCGTGGGTCCACATTTCAGATATTACGTCATATCGGATGCAAATCTGGATCAGCTCCGTTGTTCTCCCGTTTTTAGAGATTTGTGTACGGAGGAAAAGAGAGAGGGTTTTGTTTTCTGACGCTGCGTGAGTTTCCTGACACACCGGGGACACATAGTTATGTATACAAGACATCACAAAGTGCATTTTGCATGATAGGTCCCCTTTAATGTACATCACAATTCCTTTAAAACCTTTTTACTAAATTTGATGGTGTCCTTGGGTGTCGTGAAAGGCGCTGTTAAATAAAATGTATTATGATTATTTACAATCGGCACCAGCTACATTTTAAATTTTATACAGTCACTTTAAAAAATATATATACTGCTACTTTTTACGACCTATCTGCTATTTCATTTTCTACGTTTTCTATCATTATTAACGTGTGCATACTTAGTTAATAGTTACTGTAAAAGGTAGGTCTTTTCTCTTTACTTTATCTGCACTATACTTCTGCTGTTGTAATCATTTATATTTACCAATTGCGGGACATTAAAGGATTTCTGATTCTGGTTTATTTCTGATATTAAACTTAACACAAAAAGTAAGGACATTTGTGTTTGGTAGAGTATTTCTTTATGGTAACAATGCTTCTTGGCAATAAATCTTATACCGTTGGAAAGCCTGTTTTCTTACCTTCCCAATGGTACCACGTTTGCGAGGAACAAGCATTTGTGGGATGAGCAGCAGAGCTGAGTATGAGGGTTGCGCCCATGAAAAATGTGACAAATCTCCTCTGCATTATAGCCGAAAAGCATTGTTACAACATAGAAATAATCTACTCAACACACATTTCCTTACTTTTTGTGTTAAGTGTATATCGAGCCATAATCACACAGCTGACTCAAACACCCCGCAGCTTTATGAAACATGCACGTTGTGTTATTTTTGTTGTTTGCATGTGAACATGGAGTCTGCCTTCTCGCTGCCTCTGAGGGAAACATTACGTAACTCATCATTAGTCAGCGTGCACACTGCAGTCTGTTTTAATATAACTGTCACAGATAAGCAGGATTTACACAATATTAACAACATGCAAAGTGCCCCTCATTATTATTGAATACATGTATGATTTTGAATTGGAGGACAATGTGCTGCACACAGTGGTACATGTAAAAAAGTACTGCAGTTTCATTTTATGCTACTTTTTACTCCACTACATTTATCCAACAGCTATTCACAGATTCAGATTATTAGCTCATACACAATATTAAACAACTAATACATAAAGTTAAATTAAAGCCCCATCATTACCAGCTGTGATGATTATTGTGTTAACATACATTAAAACGGACAAGTCAAATCAATCGCTTCGCAAATCGCTTCGCGTCGGGCCGAACCACGCCCCTTAGCTGTGATATAATGAGCATATACCACGGCCTGTCGTGAGCTATTGCTTAATTATAAAACGGACATGTCAAATCAAGCAATCTGATTGGTTCTTAGCCGTGATATACTGAGCGTATACCACGGGTAGAATTGTAAGTTACTTTTGGCTTTTAAACACAACAAGTACTATTGCTGTTTGTACTTTATGTATATGTTATTCATTGACACTGGGGACAATACTTTTTCAGAAGTAAAAGGAAAAAGATTTATGGTTTGTTCTAAGAAATGCTAACGAACAAAGAAGACGGTTTAGGAAAGGGCTGATCTGCACAATACAAAAAAGATGTAATACAATGTAAATATTGAATAAATAAATATGCGTTGTTCAAAGCTTTAAAAAAAACATGCATGCACTGATCAGTATATTTAAAATGTCATTTAAATAAAGAGACAGTGTTGTTTTTCAATTCTTGGTTATTATCTACTCTGACCTCAATCTGACATTGTCTACAATTGTATATGTCGAACACCATTTATAAATCTTCTGACCCCCTACTGTATGTCCCGAATGCCAATAGTTTTGTTTACTTTCACTTAAAGATTGTTTATGTAGTGACAGTAACAGATTATTTTTATAATTTGGCAATGCTGCTTTTACTTAAGTAAGAAGTCTGATTACTTCGTCCACCTCTGCTGCACACTGAACATCAGTCAGTACTTTAAAGGTCCCCTATTATGCTGTTTGTCATCAATATATTACAGGTCTCAGATATATACAGAACATGTCTCTGATTGGCTAAAACACCAAACAGATCATTGCAGCATTACCCATAATCCCCCTCTGTTTTCAGCCCTGTTATGACATCATAAAGTGGCCAAAATCTGATCAGCTCATTTTCAGACAGGTTTTTATAGAAATGGATTAGGACAAAAAGAGAGAGAATCTTTGTTCCTGAAACTTTCAGAGTCTCTTTACACAGAGGGGACACATGTTGATGTAGAAGAGACATGAAGAAGAGGGGACACATGTGATGTAAGAAGAGACATGAAGAAGAGGGGACACATGTTGATGTAGAAGAGACATGAAGAAGAGGGGACACATGTTGATGTAGAAGAGACATGGAGAAGAGGGGACACATGTTGATGTAGAAGAGACATGAAGAAGAGGGGACACATGTTGATGTAGAAGAGACATGGAGAAGAGGGGACACATGTTGATGTAGAAGAGACATGAAGAAGAGGGGACACATGTTGATGTAGAAGAGACATGAAGAAGAGGGTACACATGTTGATGTAGAAGAGACATGAGAGAAGAGGGGGACACATGTTGATGTAGAAGAGACATGAAGAAGAGGGGACACATGTTGATGTAGAAGAGACATGAGAAGAGGGGACACATGTTGATGTAGAAGAGACATGAAGAAGAGGGGACACATGTTGATGTAGAAGAGACATGAAGAAGAGGGGACACATGTTGATGTAGAAGAGACATGAAGAAGAGGGGACACATGTTGATGTAGAAGAGACATGAAGAAGAGGGGACACATGTTGATGTAGAAGAGACATGAGAAAGAGGGGACACATGTTGAGGTAGAAGAGACATGAGGAAGAGGGGACACATGTTGATGTAGAAGAGACATGGAGAAGAGGGGACACATGTTGATGTAGAAGAGACATGGAGAAGAGGGGACACATGTTGATGTAGAAGAGACATGAGAAGAGGGGAACACATGTTGATGTAGAAGAGACATGGAGAAGAGGGGACACATGTTGATGTAGAAGAGACATGAAGAAGAGGGGACACATGTTGATGTAGAAGAGACATGGAGAAGAGGGGACACATGTTGATGTAGAAGAGACATGGAGAAGAGGAGAAACATGTTGATGTAGAAGAGACATGAAGAAGAGGGGACACATGTTGATGTAGAAGAGACATGGAGAAGTGGATTTTGCATATTAGGTGACCTTTAATATCTGAGACTTAAGTGTTTTTTTGTACCTTTTTTGCGTGCCGTGTCGTCGGGGTCCAGGTTCCGGCTGACGGTCACCACCTTGATGAGCAGCCGGTTCGTCCCGTGTCGGATCATGTTGACGACCTGTCTGTGGCCCACCTTCACCACGTTCTCCTGGTTCACCTGCAACACAACACAGCAGCCATTAGTGTCAGGAAAATACTCAAAGACATCCAGAAATATTCACATTTCCAACAAGAATCTGTATGTTATGTAAATACATTATTTTATTTCACTATCGTAATCTAGCCGCTACCACACCTCATTCTGCAATGGTACACTTCTTTTATTTTATAATACACTTACTTAATTTCCCTGAACGTTTACTCCTGTAAATGTTTTTATTTCAATTTTTTTTAGATACTACGTGAATGCCTTTTATCTGTTGGTTTTTACGTCTCTTTCTCTTTCTACACTTTGCTATAACACTGTAAATGTCCCTAAGTACAATTGCACATGACAAATGACAAAAAGTCAGTCATTGTTTGCCCACTACAGTAAAATGCTACTTTATGAAACAATATATACAAACAAAATGCCATAATAATATATCACACATGGAGGCCATTCTTCTGCTGTATGACTACTTATACTTGCAATGGAGTATTTTAACATGAATGTATTGGTACTTTTACTCAAGTAAAGCATCCAAATACCAGTGGCGAACCGTCAGGGCCTTCAAGGTATTCAGAGAATACCCTGGAACACTCAGATAAAACACAAAATCGATTTAATTATATAAATAAAATGTATATAAAATGAATAAATGAGAATGCTATCTGTGTTGTTGATCTGTAATATTACAGTGTTACGTTGATTTGTTTGTCCTTCTCGGACCATGCTCTACGCATTTCAGTGGTTTTGTGTTAGAAAAGAAAGCAACCAATCAGATCTTGTTCTGGGTCTCTTGGTAGAATATCCTTCAACCAAGGTATTCTACATCCTTGATCGAAGGCCCTGGGGCTTGGACGCGGGGGTACGCCGTACCCCCACTTATTTGGAGCATGATCTTTTTTTAAAGTCTAATAAATATAAAATCATTGCCAGTGTTATCAGTTGCAAGTGTGTATTTGTTGTAATAGTGACGAAAACATAATACATTTCACAGTAATTATAATAAAAAATAAAAACGATTTCCTTAAAAAAATATGATTCATCATCACGCTCGTGACCCCGCGGTCACTGACACACCCACGACGAGTCCAGATTCAATGTTTGCATAAGTATGGCTATATTTTTCGTTTTGTTTATTTAATAAGTTAATTTCAGGACAACTTTGGACATTTTGTTTGTTTGTTATGAGTTTTAAATAGATTTTGAGA